GGCGGATGCTGCCGCTTCGGCCGCCTCCACTCACCAGGACGTTTCCATCCTTGTTTTATCTCCCATAACTCCATGGGACAGCCATTCATATTTTCATCAAAATAAGAAGGCTTTAATGAAACAATTTTCTTTAACAGCTACAGAGGCTGCGGCTATCATACAACAATGTCCCACCTGCAGCCTCCAAGCACACTCTGTTCCTCAAGGGGTCAACCCAAGAGGGACGCAGAGCTGTCAACTTTGGCAAATGGATGTTACGCAATATTTACCATTTGCCCCTTGGAAATATTTGCATGTTTCCATTGACACCTATTCAGGTTTTATTATGGCCACCCCTCAAAGGGGTGAGTCTGCTAAACATGTTATTAATCATTGTATTCATACTTTTTCTATCCTGGGCAATCCAAAAGAAATTATGCATGCAAAAAAGAAAGGGGAAAATACCCCCGGCTTGCCTGGGATACAAAACACTCTTAATCTTGTACTTTTTACCTTAAACTTTTTGAATGTTTCTGGCACCCCTGGCTCAACTGCCGCAAGCAGGCATTTTTCTGCTTCTCCCACAGATTCTTCACGCCCCCAGGTATACTATCGACGTTTGCCTGATCCCACCTGGAAAGGGCCTGCCTCCCTCATTACTTGGGGTCGAGGCTATACTGCAATAGACGACCATGGCGAGATCATTTGGACTCCAGCTCGTTGTGTTTGTCCTTATATGGCTCAACGTACACCACCTCAGCCAGGCATATGAGGATCAGGGACTGTGGGCTTTTAATGCTTTTGTACGGGATGCCAGGCGCACTGCTCTTACACTTAACGTCACGAACTGTTGGATCTGCATGCAAATTCCTGGTGACAGTCGTGGTGGCCTTATTTTCCATGCCATCCCGTTCAATGAAACAGGATGGAAGCAGCTGTGGAGCATAACTACAGAGACATTGAATATGACATATGCTGTGGGCGCTCGTATAATGGAACCTGCCAGATTTTGTTTTTATAGCACAGGACTATTCCGTACTGCCATTTATTTGGGAACTTATAGTAATTGTCAACAAGTTATTATATGGAATTCAGCAAAGAAATGTAAATCCATCAAAAGCAACCTTACTAAGGTAAATGACACTTATCAAAGCAATCAATGGACAAACATCAGTACCTACATGGCTTGCCTTGACATGGAATCCATAATAACATTTGCTAATGAGTCTCACCAGGGTTATTATGAGTTACCCGATATGTGGCTACTATGTGGCCGTAGAGCCTATCGCCAGGTGCCTAAGGATTGGAAAGGCACCTGTACACTGGGCCTTTTGACTCCTGCTGTATATGCCTTGCCTCATCTCCCTGATGGACGCCTGCGGAACAAACGTGATACTGGTTCCTCGGATCCACCCCTAACATTGGGTGGTAGTTTAGAGACTCAAATCAGCAGAGGGATTCTACCCAATCTAGGAGTTGCCATGAACTATAGAGACCTTCATTTGCTTAACAATTGGACTGTTCATATGTTTAATGAAACAATTAACAGCATTAAAATGATTAATCAAGAAATGGGGGAAATAAGGGAAGTAGTTTTGCAAAATCGGTATGCTTTAGATATTATTTTAGCAGCAAAAGGCGGTGTATGTGCCTTAATTCATTCTCATTGTTGTATGTATATACATGATTTTCAACCTAATATTTCTGCTACAGCTAGAAAAATGGAATCTTTGCTCCAAAATAATCCCTTACGCAGTGATGGATCAGGCACCGTGGATATCTGGGGTGCCCTTTGGTCCTGGCTACCGGATGGATCCTGGCTACGATCTTTGATTTCTATTATAGTAACCATTTTGATATTATTTGTATTGCTATGTTGTTGCATTCAATGTATTCCCTCCCTCCTGCAAATGTGCAAAAATGTTACGCCCTCCACTAGGAAGGACGCCTTAATCAGTGAATCAAGATCCCTTCTGGAACTGGAAGTGAGTAACATTGAAAAAACAGAAAAGCAGGAGATGTGGGACTAATTGCACAAATGTCCATGGGCATCTATCCATGGGCATCTCCCACAAGGGCCTGAGATAACTGTTTCAGACACAGGATACATTCATCAGCCTTTTGGACAGACTCTGATAAGAACACCTGCAGTAGCCTTGTATCTGGAGAGTGTCTGTTATTTGATACATTGTAACCACCCCTATATACGTCTTTTGATTATGCTGTGTGATGTAAAAACCTTAGTAACAATAAAAGAGGGTGCTGGAGTCAGCTCTGGGCTCTCATCCCGAGATACCACCTGCGTGCGTGTCTCATTCTCCATGGGAGACCACCACACTAGTGGACCTTCAAAACTCTTGTATTGCACGTTAAGGGTGGCCTCCCCCTTAACACACACTCTTGAGTTCTGAAAATCTGTTAATACAATATCAGAAGGCCTTAACTTGGCCTTAGACTCACTTCTGGAACAAATCTTCCTAAATGTATGCAATGAAATGATGGACAGGGCAGACCCTGTGTCTAGTTCCATAGATAATGGAACCCCTTGTAGCTTCACGTTGAGTGACAGCTTTTTCTTCATGGGCTTGTGTGTGCCTGTTCTACAGATGCTTCTTCGCGAAGCGCAAAAACCTACCCTATTCTGGCTGGGGAATCTGGTACCCTTCAGGCGTTCTTCTTGGGGTTGTGCCTTTCGTCGGCCAGGCACACAGCTGCAATGTGCCCTTGTTTACCGCATGCCCGGCAGGTAGCGGAGCGGAACTTGCAGTCGGTTCTCCTGTGGCGACCTCCACAGCCGATGCACTTGAGCAGAGCCGAAGAGCTTCCCTTCTGGTTCTCTTCCTTCGCGGGGTGTAGACGGTCGACTTCCTCGTCCGGATCCTCCTCGGAGTTTCGTCGGACGTCTTCCTGGTGCACGGACGCACCCTCTGCACTGTTTCTGATCGGCCGCATATTTTTGACGGCGCCGCCTGCTGCTTCTTCTGCGGTGACTTCCCTTAAGGCGTCTTGGAAGGATAATTCTTCCTTTGCGAAAAGTCTCTTTTGTAGCTCTCGATGCCTTAACCCGCACACGAATCGGTCCCTCAGTCGTTCCTCGAGGTCCTTGAACTCGCAGGGCTTGGCGGCCTTCCGTAACGCGGCGATGTATTCCTTGGCTGACTCACCGGACCGTTGATCCCTCTGTTCGAAGATGTGGCGCCATGAGATAACGGACACCTTGGGGTTGAAGTGCTCCTTCAGCAGCTTCTTCAGGTCTGCGTAGCTTACAGACTCTACTGGGACAGGTGCTGCAAGGTTTTCTGCGATTTCGAAGGCGTCTTGGCCGCAAACGCAAAGCAGGGTGGCCGCCTTCAAGCTATCTTCCCTCACTTGGTTTGCCTTGAAGTAGTTCTCCATTCTGGATACGTAGGACTCCCACCGCTCTGGATGTGAGACGTCGAATTCTGAAAGCCTTCCGATTTTCGCCATCTTCGGATCTTCAGGAGACGGGTCTATCAGCCAGCCTACCCCCGAATGCGCACCGGATTGGCGGGCAGCTGCCGAGTTGACGCCGTTCCTCTTTCGCCGCTCAGGACTCCTTGGGTAAGCTTACACTTCTTCCTTTCCAGGTAGTGCAAGGCATCCCACCTTCGTCGCCAGTGTTGGGTCCGTGGCGGGAAAACAGACACGAGAAGCAGCTGGAGTTCTCAGTTTCATTTATTCAGGGTTCAGCTTACAGGAAGATGGCTTCAGCTTCGCCCAAACGCCTCGCAGCCTCTTATATAGGCAACTCCCGGGTAAATGGGTTACTTTTCCCGCGCCAGCACCCGCGCATGCGCACGGCGCTGGCGACAGCCTGTCTGGTCCCGGGCAGCTTTGCACCTGCCCGGGACTGCCTGCAAACGCCCGAGCCGTTTGCAAGGCTCGGGACATAACAGTATAATATCATAGGCCCTTCATTAATGTGTATATATGAGCACACACATACGTATACACACAGAGATGGAATCTAATTTAACTAAAATTAACTTCTGAAGACACATTAGACAGAAGATAAACGTGCAACTTGTTAACTGTTAATTTTGTTAATACTGTTCTTTGAAAAGGTATTAAGTCGCAATCAAAGTTTCTAATTTCTGGCATAACTTTGCCATTGAATGTTATCAGACCTTTATGTGGGTTTTACTGGTATATAAAGGGAGTCTAAATAGATAACATCTAAGATTTTGGTGCTGCTTTCATTTATTTAATCAACAATTATCCTAACGTGAAAGGAAAAAATATAGAACTGTACCTCCAGCGTATACTATGCCTTCATCAATTTTTCACAACTGCAAGGTCAAAGTATATTTCATTAGTAATTTTTGTGTCCTAAATGATTCCCTACTCTTACAACATTCATCCACTCGCATCCTGTATGCCTAAATTATGCAAGAAAAGGAGACAGTGACAGCTGATGACAGCTGCTTGTTTCTGAATCAGCTCCTCGACTAGTCCTATTATAGAGGCTTATAATTTTTAGATAAGCACATTATAGAATTATTAATAATAAGATCCAAAGTATGCAAAGCTCTTCTAGTGAGTTCATTTTTTTTTAATTCTCCATTTCTATGGATTTTTTTTTTAAAAAAACCTGATGGTTTCACTGGCATTGATATTGAGATCAACTAGAGTGCAGTGATTAAAATGTTAAGCTTAAGAAACTGCCAGACAGCTGCAAAGAGATGTTTTCATTGGTTTAGCAACTCAAGGGGAAGTATTAAAAAAGAAGAAAAAGAAATACCAGTCCCAATTGCCTTCCCCTTTTTGCTTATTTGATGTTTAAAACCACATGTCAACATAAAAGTATGCTGAATTCTTTTGGGAAATAACAAAGATGCATTGAATTATTGCATACAGTTATTACTCAGGGTAAATAAGGAGCTTCTCTTCTGAAGTAAATGGACATTGGGTCATTCTCCAACAGTAAAAGCACTACTTTTATTCAGCCCCAGATGTAGCCATTTGTAGTGATATTTTCAATATCTGGTGGATTTGCAGGGCAAATTTTTGAGATGAGAACTAACCAGAAAGGCTATTATTTTACTTGGGCTGAGGCTACATGCATCTTCTAGACTAGATTTCATGACTGCATTTCAGACATTTCTCTGAATTTGGAGGGAAAGCACATATTTCATAGCAAGCCTCCTCCATATGAGAAAGAAGGGGCCAATAAGAGAACTAGGGTGGTGTAACAGTTAAGATGTTAAACCAGGGATGGGGAGTGCCGGAATGCATTCCCCCCACCCCCATCCAGCCACAAGACTGACTGATGAATTTGGGCCACCCACTGGTTCTCAGCCCAACCTATCACCCAGGATTGTTTTACAGAGTAAAAAAGAGGAAGGAGTCCGTCCTCTTTATGCTGCCCAGCATTCCTGAAAGAAAGAAAGAAATACAAGGTATAAATTAAACTATTTTTTCTTTTCCGAAGAATGTGTTTGTGTGTGTGTGTGGTGTGTGTGTGTGTGTGTGTGTGAGAGAGAGAGAGAGAGAGAGAGAGAGAGAGATTTGCATTGTGAAAACAATGTTTTCTTGTACTGCATAGCAAAACTAGAAATTCTAAAGCAAAGCACTCCTTCAAAAAGAACTTTTTCCCCTCTTCCCCCTTTCTATTGATCAATAATAATAGAAAACAAGAAAAAACAAACAAAAACAGTGTGAAGCAAACAAATACAATAATATACTAACAGCTAGCAAAATAAGTCCCTGTTCTATAAATTCAGCCACCCTAAATCCTGTATCTGATTATTCAGATATAGGCCTCATGTATTTCAGTGGGGTCCTTATGTACAGCTCCCTCATTATCAGAGCCTTGCATTGGACTCCAGGGATTACAAATCTCTCTCAAACACATACACACACTCACACACACACCTTAAATCTGGATGTGATTAAAAACAAAAATATAAACAAAAGTGAATGCAGCAGAATCTAGAAATGTGATACAATCAAGACTTGGACAGAAATAGAAAATTAAAAAATAAACCCTAAAATCTGTGTTTACATCCTATTCTTACTTTCATCTGAAGGAAGGAAGGTGGGTTGTCTGAGGTAATAAGATTAGTAAGATTTGTGGACAGGCAGGCCCTCAAATCTAACCTCTGATGAAAGGAGGCCCAACCAACCTGGCAAGGTCCAATATTTTCTGGAATTACTGCTGCCTTGTGCAAACTCTGTGAATTCCTCACCATTTGCTCACCATGTTAAGTCCCATAAAATTCCTTGGTCCCTCCTATTTGTAGTCCCTCCTGTTATTTTAATAACTTTCTTTCCTCATGCTTTTAAAGGCATTATTGAGGATAGGCCCTGCACCTCTGGTGCCTTTTTTGGTTTATGTGCAGTCACATATTGTTAAAAGATTAATTCAGAAGAGGCAAACAGGCAAATCATTATCCTGGTTTTTCTTTGGAGGTGGGCAAGAATAAAAATAGCTGAATAAAACTATTCACTTCCTCCTGGGTTCACATGAAGTTGCATCTATTCTTTACTGAATTTGGATCCTAAAGATTTCCACTTTCCTATAGTACACCTGCAAGAATGTGTATGTGCTTATATTAGGATTAAGGAAAGAACGACAAGATTACTGGAGGCCAATCTAAGGAAATAGGATTTAGGAAAATTAAATAACTCAGACAGGAATCCAGGAGGAGGGCCCTTTGCAAAATGCTATATATTTCTGTAGGTAAAATATTGAATACTATATTCACTGCAGGAGCTGTAGATATTGTTCTTCAAGCAGCAATTTTATTATTTGGGGAACAGAAGTACCATTGTGCTGTATATCCAGAAAATCATTTGAGAAAGAAGAGGGAATTTCCTAAGGCTGTGTTTGATAGGGGCTGCTCAAGAGGATGAAAATTGTAGCCCCTAGTAATTGTTCTTCTATAACATTTCATGTGTATAAAGGAGGTCGTTTCTGTGTAATAAATTCAGATGGGTGTTCTCATTTCTTCTATGTTCACTTCTATCCTACTAAAATGCTTGAACTCCACTAGTAAGGATGAGTGTTCTCCAGGATTGGATTCAACCCAAATTTATGTCTAGTTTGAGTCTTACTACTGTATGCATTGGAATTCCCATTTGGAATTGGAACTTGGGTTGTCCTTTATTAGACTAATATCCTGGCTGCCTTTCCTTATATGCTATTTCCTTCTTCTGTTATTGGCCTGCTCTGCAAGGTAAGTTGGATTTAAAAAGAGTGCCTTGGTGGCTAAGGGCAGACTGGAATCTGGATTCCCTTGCTTTTGGTCTGACACCTTTCTCACTATACCATGCTGACCTTTCTAGACAAGAATTATTATAGTGAATGCTAGAAAAATAGAGGATTTCCCATGTCCATTTATTTTTCCACTGGGTTGGGAGAAGTAATTGATCGAGTGAGACTTGTCAATCACTAGGAAAAGTTTTTACTGGGAATCATCTTTTAATTAAGTACATCCCCCCCCATATTGTCCCTTATACACAAAATATGCTTCTTTGAAAACAAAATTAAAAAAAAACAGAAGTGACTTTGTTCTTTCTGTTCCTTCAGCACATGATCTCATGCAACATGTGGTTTCTCTTATTCATTTTCATTATCAGCTGACTTGCATGAGGAAAACAAAGTCATGATTGTAAGATACTTGTGGTGATATTTAGCTTGTGGGTGTGACATTAATTTATGCTTTATACTGTAGTGAATGCTTGGAAGAAATAAGATTTTCAGAAGGCTTATCCACCACAAAGTGGTACTGCTCTGTTTCATTGGAATAATTGATGATAAAGGATATTTTCTTTCAATATTAGGGCCTATTAAGTTAATTCTACCATATAGTTTTGAGATCAATTTGTAGCATATAGCCTCAGATCGCATTTCTAGAAGCTGTAACATCTGGAAATATCCATTTTATTCTAAAAATAATGAAAGATTGAAAACTAAAACAAATACATGTATTTTTCCAAAACAGCCTCATTCCATAGTTCTTTTTCTAGCAAATGATGAATTATGTAAGTGACAAAAAATTATGGAAACAGCGTGTTTTAATATTTCAATAACATGTTATTTTTAAAGTATGCGTTTGAATAATCCTAATGAGCTGTCATGGTAGCTTGTTTGAGACAGTAAAATATAATTCTATACTTATTGTAAATATGTAGAAAATTTCTAGCCGAAAGAGGTTATTTGGTACAAGGGTTCATATTTCCTTAGATTAAATATATTATATTAATCTTTTAGCAATGTTTGTAAAACTGTTCATTTCTTCTGGTTTTCACAGCCTGATTAATATTGAAGAAATTGCTGAATTTTTTAAAGTGCTATCTTTCACATGTGATAACTTTTATAAATGGCAGTGCAGTTAAATGTCTAGTTTTATTGTTTCTATTTTTTTCTTTTAAGGACCATAAGAGTTTGCTTAAATGTGACCCAGCGGAGCGGTTTGCAGCCATAAGAAATCTGGAATCCAGGTCATAAGTACCTGGGGAGGGGGGTCCACCATAATTCTGAATGGTCACTAAGCAACCGTCGTTAAGCGAGGACTACTTGTAACGCAAGTAATAAAATGTATCTAGTATTGTAATATACATGTATTATATATATACATACATATACATGAACACACACACACACACACACATATACAACAAACATTTTTGAAAAATAATACAGCAATTACAACTGCATGAGAATTATGAGTGGTAGACAGTCAGTTCAGAAGATATTTCAGAAGAATAAAATTTATAAAAGCTTCTAGAAGGCCAGAAACTAAGAATGCAATTTAATATTTATAAGGAGGCTATTCCTGAGAATCAGCACTGTGATGACAAATCAGTGCTTTCTGGCCTTAGTTTCCCCACCTTGTGGACTTATGGTATTACCATGGGTTTAAGAGAGGAGAATATTCCCAAATGGGCCAACTCTGACTGGAGAAAGAAATCCTATAGATACTTGGGTGTCAAACCATATATGATTTTTATAAATCAATACTAGCATTTTGAATGGTACCAAAAAACTAATAATGGCTAATGAAGAGCCAACAAAACAGGGCTAATATGATCACAGTAAAGAGTGCTAGTCAACTGCAGCTTCTAGATGGTCTTCGAAAGTAGCCAAAAATTGAGTGACTGGTGGAAGTCTGCATGACATCTTACTTAGCAGTTCAGAAGGAAAGCATGATTGATTGATCAGAGGTTTTATAAGACTAAGGGGTGCATTATCCCTATCAAAGTCTGGACACAGGTCATCTATAAGAACGAGCAATGCTGTCTCCATTACATGCCTGGCCCCGAACTTCACTAAAAAGAATCCAGATAAATTGCTTCCTCTATAGTACTGGTTAATTAAATATCTATGACATACTCAATAATTTTTTCCCAAAAGAGAAAACTCAAGACGAAATAGGGTCAGATATTGCCAGATGTGGTGAGAACTTCTTAAAAAGGAAAGGCATTATTGCCTCCTTCAAAACTGTTGATATCAATTCCCATGAAAAGAGGTATTAATTACATAATTGTAAACTGCCAAATTGTTAAGAAACTTTTCAGGCACTTCCAGAAACATTAAATCAATCATGTAGTAGGAGTGGACTTTTCTAATTGGTCCCACAGACCTTTGGAAGTCCCAGGCAGCAGTTAAGCTCAGCTGTACCTGGAAATTAACTAACCATGGGAATGGGCTAGCTGTAATTCTGACCATATTCAGATCACAGCATAGTTGCTCTGAGGTTAAGCCAGGTCAAAGTCACGACTATCCGCATGTAAGTCAAATATTAATTGGGATAAACCCATAGTTGCTAGCTACTGAAGCCATGAACTTCCTGGATCTAACCACCAGGAAACGAAGATTACTCATCAAATCATGGATGATTGTGGTCTTATTAGAGACAGAATTGGTGTTTACCAGCAGGGAGCTAAGCCAAGGTCATTAATGATCAGGCCAGCAGGACTGGGACCACAAGGCAAAAAACAATGATTGCACCAAATTGCTGATTTTCCTTCCCTTGGAATGGCCGAGTCAGTGCTTTTCACCATACTACCCTCAGCCTGGCATAATCAAAATTATTCTACCTTCACTGTCCAAATAATGGTCTTCAACTATTCTCTACCATAAGTAGCCCACAATCACTCACTGACTTCCCTGCTCAGCTATTCATACCACTTTCCACAACACAATCATCTAATTACACCCAATTCACTCTCCACTACTAGGCCTATCAGTCTTACTACTTAACAAGCCATTTCAACTGATAGGCCACATGTAATGACTCCATACCCTTTCTAACAACATCATTCCCCAATTCACCCCAATATAATCCAGTGCTGAAACTTTGCCACCAAATTTTCCAGATCCCTAGATCAGATATCTAGAGAGGCTCAGGCCACAGATTCCAGCTTTACCTCCCACAGCAATAGACTTGTAGCTTTCAAGATAGGGTTCCATAAGTTCAGCTAAATGCTTGGCCTCCAACTGACCTCTGGCAGTCTTTTCAAGTTAATTCTCCTTTGTCCCTCAGCGTGTTGTGGCTGTCTTCCCACTGCTATCACAAATGAGCTTGACACTGTTACTGATGCACTTTCCACTCTTCTTTCATAGGCCCTGGATTGCAGCAATAAATTCTCCACAATCCAGATCTTCTAACTGAATCCACAACCACTGTGGGCTCAGTATCACAGACCCACAAGGACCAACTTCTCTGTTATTGTATTATCTCTACCAATTTAAACTATATCCACACTCAAGGTAGGTCATCTTCAGTTTTGGCTTTCCTTTCCAGCTGCTACAATTCCACTCTTCTACTTTTATCTTCCATATTCTGCTTTTCTCCCTTTATCATTGTCTCTATTCTATCAAGCTTTTCTGTTTGCTTTGCTCTCAGTTCTTTTCATTATTTCACTATCTTAATTTGGCCATTCCAAACTCCAATTTATACAAAAAATTATTTGTTACACAGATAGAATAAACAGAAACCTTTCAAGCCCCAGTTACACTCCTTTCAGTAATGCATCTAGCAGTCTTATATAAATTATAGATTAATAACTCTGCCCATAACATTTATTTAACATGCAACTAATTAAAAGGTGTGCTATTTTTTTGACCTGTCTTTCCAAACGTGAGGAGAAAACTCATTCTCAAAAAATTCTAATTTTTTACTGTTGTCTATGAAATTACAGTTCTCAGCCAAACAAATAGCAACCCCATTTCATGTTATATCTAGAATTGGTAGAATTTATTTGTATTTCTTGTATTTCTTTATTTTATATCCTGCCTTCTCAAATCCACAATATATGAATCAGCCCTGATTTGATTCAACTTGGAGTTTTGAAGAAGACCATGTTAGCAAACTCATTAGCATTAGAAGTGAAATAAACTAGACAAAGCAAAAAAAAATGGTACCCTGCCCCAGACTCTGGACCAATAAAATATTAGACCGAAACCAGCATTACTTTGGCACTTATTCACTCATTGACAAGTGACAACCATGCAGAATTTAAGAATAAAGTCAGCCCTCAGCCAATATTCAGAGTACTGGGAGCAGAATTGAAATCCATTGGAATATTATCCTGCTACCCTAAGAGTACTTTGTTAGGTAGACAGTTGAATGAGGCATTAAAACAATTAGCTCTGTATTTATGTCAATGTTAGAAAATCCACACCATTAAACATATCCCAAGCCTCTTTCTACATGGAAGTGAAATTGCAAGAATGTATATTGTCATTAACTATTACTAGCAAAACAATTTAAGAGTAGAAATAATTAAAAAACAAGAAAAAGTGTTACAACCATTTGTACAGATACAGACTGGGTGAAACTTGGTTTAATACCAATAATTGTGAGAGGGATCTTTGAGTCCTAGTGGACAATCACTTAAATATGAGCCAACAGTGTGCTGCAGCAGCCAAAAAAGCCAATGCAACCCTAGGCTGCATTAATAATAATAACAAGAAGCAACGGGTAGAAACTAATCAAGGAGAGAAGCAACCTAGAACTAAGGAGAAACTTCCTGACAGTGAGAACAATTAATCAGTGGAACAGCCTGCCTCCAGAAGCAGTAAATGCTCCAACACTGGAAGTTTTTAAGAAGAGACTGGACAGCCATTTGTCCGAAATGGTGTAGGGTTTCCTACCTGAGCAGGGGGTTGGACTAGATGACCTCCAAGGTCCCTTCCAACTTTACTACTATTACTACTATTACTAATAGAGGGATAGAATCAAGATAATGTGAAGTATTAGTACTGCTTTACAAAGCCTTAGTAAAACCACACTTGGAACATTGCATCCAATTTTGGTCACTATAATATAAAAAATATGTTGAGACACTTGAAAAACTTATGAAGAACTTTTGCAGGAATTGGGTATGTCTAGTCTAGTGAAAAGAAGGACTAGGGGAGACATGATAGCAGTCTTCCAACATTTGAGTGGTTACCACAAATATTAGGGGTTCAACCTATTTTCTAAAGCACCAGAAGGCAGGACAAGAAGCAAAGGATGGAAAGTAATCAGGGAGAGAAACAACCTAGAACTAATGAGAAGTTTCCTAATGGTGAGAACAATTAACCAGTGGATTGCCTTGCTTTCAGAAGTTGTAGGTGCCCCATCGCTGGAGGCTTTTAAGAAGAGACTGGACAGCCAATTGTCTGAAGTGGTATAGGTTCTTCTGCTTGAGCAGGAAGCTGGACTAGAAAACCTCCAAGGTTGCTTCCAACTCTGTTATTCTATGTTATAAGTTATGCAGACTCTTCTACCTCTTAGCAGATCAGCAAGCAATTGGAAATGCCAATTTGTAAATACTTTAATGTTAATAGATATAAATAAAGCCAAATCTTTATCAGAGCTTATCAATTAACTTATCTAATTTTTTTGCTAGGTTCAAGATGAATGCAACCTGTGTCATGTGGGGAATCTTTTGGCTGATTATACTCTTTTTTATTGGATGGCCAATTAGCATATTCTTGGGAGGACTGTACGGATTCTTCGCTCCTATGACCACTCTGATAGGTCTGGATGACTTTAGTGAGCTTTTATTGAAGGGGGTAAATGTGGGAAGAGAATGTGCTATGAATGTGCGAACAGGAAAGTCCCTCTTTTAACAATAAACCCTATCATAAATCAGGAAATAAACATTCATTTTATGATCTTTAATGGATTTTGAAAGTATTTGTGTACATTCCTGTTTATATTAAAATGATAATTTAGATTTTAAATAATACATTAGTGATATTTTACAGTATTGTAAAGAAGTAATATAGTGTCATTTCATTTGTAAGCTGTATGAAACCTGGGGAGATCCAAATAAGAACTTCATTTTTTTGTCAGATCTGGATTTGTCTAGAACGCCATGTTTACAGCTCTGAAAACTTATGCAGTAATATCTTTGCTTAGAAACAGTGATGAAACTTGCCTTCCTCTTAGCGGGAAAGTTGGCATTTGGCCTCTTACTCTGCCTTGTAAGTTATCAAAAGTTCAAAGTCTAATTGTTTATTAGCTTCATTACCAAATGCAGTCAATGTATTAATCTGTATTATCGCTAATGTTCATTATATTTAAATTTGATATAAATATATCATATATATGGGAGCTATTTTTAATTATTCATAGATATGGTATTACTTATGATAAATAAAACATAACTGTACTGGTAGTTTCCACTTTTTTTTTTACATTTTTGTTATATATTTTTCTCCTAATATAAGAAATTCCTGAATTTTGCTGAATTGCTAAATTTTGCTGTTACTTTTCTGAAACTCAATTATAAATATTATGATGATCTTAAAACTAGAATCTACTTTATATATTGTTAAAGTATTTTTGCTGTCACTTATCTGATAGAGATCTAAGTTCTCTGTCCCCTAATATGTATGTAAGTAATCCTTGGTACAATTTGAAACAATGGGAAAGTGTCATTGCTAATGGTCCAGGTTGAGAATAGAAATTATCCCAGTTTCCTCATTAGATTGCATATTCCAGAAACTGATCAGAATAATGCATCCATGTTGATTCTTTTGAGTGTGTGTGTGTTATATAATACCATATTATATCATTATCTGTGGCTCCTAAAATGTTTAGCTATAAACTATTATTATGCAGATCTGTTTGGCTGAGTGTTTCTAGGTATTAGTAGTGGAGGAGTATTGCTTGATTCTTTAGCTGTTAACAAAATATATCTCAGGATGTTTTCATGATAGCCCCCCCTAAACCTTCACATGATCATTTCCCATGACACTAGACAAACAACAACAAGAAGAAAACAACTCCCTTTAAAATATAAAGTTACCATATTGGGTGGCACCAACTCAAGCCCAATTATAAGACAGGCGTTCTCTATTTCAGAAGCATATTAGGGAATTTGGTGTTGTGGTTAAGGAACCAGGTTAGAGACTAGGAGACTTTGAGTTCTAGTCCTACCTTAGGCATGAAAGTCAGCTCGGTGACTTAAGCAGAGTCACTTTTTTCCAGCCCAACACACCTCACAGGATTATTATTGTGGGGAAATCAGAAGAAGGAAGGACTATTTAAATATGTTTGCCACCTTAAATTGTTTATAAAAAATAAACGGGGGAAATGAATGAATGAATGAATAAAATAAATGAATGAATGAATGTCTCTCTCGGTTGATATACATTCAGCTATAAGACAACTCACAATGAGTTGCTTTTTCCTTTATGCCTTATAAGTGTTCGAGTTTTAGAAGCTTTTTCAAACTTAAAAATAGTGCTTAGCACTAGCTAGGTATCTGGCATTGATTCTTAATGCACATTTCAGGATCAAAGTAGTTGTTTTTACATATTGTCATTATTTCTAATTGGATGGCAATGGTTTTACCAGAATCAGCATAGGGTTACTGGATGGCCAATAGGGGAAAGAGCTTGAGGTAAAAAATTATCTCCTTTCTATTCCTATCACTTTGCACAAATGAGATAAGGCTGTTACAGGAGAAACTCCAAACTTTCTAGAGATCGTAATTTCTCTTCTGAGCACCGTTTGACTATTTGTAAGCAAAATATTCACTTCTTTTGTTAACTGATTTGCAATGTTGATCCATAATTTCTTAACATTAGAAAAGATCATAACTGAGAATATTCCAACTTTCACTGAAATTTAATTTCATTCATTTTCTCTCAATATTTAGGTAAGTTTGAAACTATTTGAAGTTATGGTACAGCTCTTTTGTTGTTAGTTGCAAAATCGTATCCGACCCATCGCGACCCCATGGACAACGTTCCTCCAGGCCTTTCTGTCCTCTAACATCTTCTGGAGTCCGTTTAAGCTCACACCTACTGCTTCAGTGACTCCATCCAACCACCTCATTCTCTGTCATCCCTTTCTTCTATTGCCCTCAATCTTTCCCAGCATTAGGCTCTTCTCCAGTGAGTCGTTCCTTCTCATTAGGTGGCCAAAGTACTTGAGTTTCAACTTCAAGATCTGGCTTTCTAAAAAGCAATCAGGGTTGATCTCCTCTAGGACTGACCGGTTTGATCTCTTTGCAGTCCAGGGGACTCGCAGGAGTCTTCTCCAGCACCATAGTTCAAAGGCCTCAATTCTTTGACGCTCAGCCTTCCTTATGGTCCAATATACCTCTTTAGTAATTAACAATTTTGAAGCAAAATTTTTAAGGACATTTAAAATGAAAAGAATGTAAATTCTTGTGAGATTTGTTAAATGTTGCCAGATAATTTTTATTATGGATTGACATTTTATTTATTTAATGTGAATTTTCATTATAAAATGGTTCAAGTACTAATAAAGACCACTTAAAATTTTTTAAAGTGATCATAGAGTAAGAATCAATGCAGCCACCCCTTTTCAAATATCTCTAGTGCTGGTAAGTATAAATAACAAAGGGGATACAAGCAAAACAACAGAGATTATAAAAATGTCTTGGCAATAAACAAAACAGAAGTCTCAAACAATCATTCATCTGAGATGATGTTAAAAGATTAATTTTCGAATTATGGAAAGTACAAACATATAACTGAACAATTTTATGATATAAGCACAAAAGTAGGTAAAAATGTTGCTTCAACGTCACAGATGAAAATTAACATTTTTAAAAGCTATATAAACCATATCCGATTCTATTTATAATAAATAGCATCTGAATGTCTTCTCTTTGTGTTCTGAAGAAAAAAGGAATGAATTGCATCTAAAGATACCAACATGGTTTGTCAAAGTCACCAGAACTGGAATCTCCAATAATGGAGATTCATGTCCTTAAAAATGTTAAATTGAAACCAACAAATCTGAAAATAAATTTGATCCATCAGGAAGCAGTATTTAGAATGTATTGGACTCTCCAAAGAATCTATTAGAAAAAAATGGGCATCAGATTTTCTAAGTTGGGGATATAAAAGAAATGAGGATTCTCTGACTCAAATGATGTCTATGATCATTTGATATATTTTGAGGCTAGCATATTAATATTTTTATATATATATAATTTTTTATTGAGTAAACATTTAAAAACAGGTTGAACGCAGTGTGGCATTTCTGGCTGTTATTTTGCCATACATACTATACCTTATACCATATATCTCCCTATTCATTGATCTTTTATACCATTTATATATTGCATTTTATACTATTTACATAGTTATATATTTACATACATATTTACGTCTATTTACAACATTTCCATTTCCATTCTTATTTCATATTCTTTCTGATCTCTATCTTACACTCACTTTGAGGTTGAAAATCTACACTTTCTCTCTTCTAGACGAGCTTTCTTTGTTCTGACTTTTTCTCCTCGAGTCTAACCAACAGTACATTTTATCCCAAACTTCGTAATACTCTGTTTCATCCTTGTCTTTAATTTCTAATGTTGGTCTATCCATCTTTGCACATATCAAAAAAAATTTAATTAGTTCACTCTCCACCAGGGAATTTCCATTTTTCCAGTTTGGGCATAGACCAACCTTGCTGCTGTTATAATATGGCTAGCATATTAATATTTATTTATAACTAAAACTGTATGCTGCTTGACTCCTAACAACTGTGGGAAGCTCAGAACAACAATAAGTAGATCTATGGGGAAATTTTTAAATGTCAAAGATAATAAGATATTGAACTCTATACCAAAGCTTTGGAATCTGACTGTTTATAAGAAATTATGTTTGTATTGAGCTCATGGGGAGATGATTAAAAAAAATCAGATTTTTACAGTAATGTTTATTATGTTATAAAACTTGCATTATATTGCTTCAGTGTATACAGTATTTATTGAAGATGAACACTCTAAAGGTAAACCAAATGATGGATGATAAAAAAGAAATAAATATTATATCAATTTATAAAAAAGAAAATATTATATCATTTTTTTACTAGTTAAGATGTCAATATTAATCAGCATAATATTACTTAGCTTTCTTAGAATTAAATATAGTATTAAAAAAACTAGGGCAAATTGCGCCTAAGTGTTATACAAAAAAGGGTTCAATCTTAAGCTGATTACTTATTATGGTCTTCACAGTGTTGTTAATGTTTTTTTATATTTGTTGGAAAAGGAGAGAAGAGAAAAAAAAACAACTTTGACAATGATTAAAATATCATAAAGAATCATAATGAGAAATTGGAAAGCTGATGGTATTCCGGATGCTAAAGAATTATTGCCAGAAACATACAATGTGACTATTTTGGGAAAAGGCAATAAATTTGATCACTACTTATGACAGTGATATTTACAATAGCATTTTACATTAATTATATTATAGTACTGCTGTTATTAGTAAACCAGTAGCTGTTGATCTTTGTAATGTATAAGATTCTTGTTCTTATTTTATTTCTTAGTTTGTTAGAATTGTTTCTTTCTTAGTTCTTTTCTATCTTAGGTTTATATTAATTTTTAGTCTTTGTTTAAATATTGTTTGTTAATTGTGCATGTTAAGAATGTTAAATTTTCTTTAAAAAAATGTTTGAGAAATTCAGAAGTACCAGAAGACAGAGCTATCCCTACCTTCAAACAGAAGAAGAAACATCCATCAGTGTGCCAGTTGATCTGACATTAAATACTTGGAAAGATTCTAAAGCAAATTATAAAGGATTTGTCTGTAAACATAGTGAAAATTATGTGATAATTACCAGACAACATGGATTTGATAAGAATAAATCCTGACAGTCTAATTAAACTTTTTGTTTACTTAGGCAACTTCCCTAATAGATTGTGGAAATGCTGTAGATGCAGAACTCAGAAATAGATAATTTATTCCTACCCGCTTTGAGTTCACCAAAGGATGCTTCTCAGTGGTACTCCATACATATGGAAAGAGGGATCAAGCGGCTTCCCAAAAGGAATAATCCTGAGTCCTATTTCTTTTCCATATTTATATATGTATGTATTTGTTAATTAAATTTATATGCAGACTGTCTCACTCTGAAAAGCGTGAGAGATTTGAGGTAGCTAATGTTCTATAATAGAGGCCCCCAACCTTTCCAGCTCCACAGACCAGGATTGCCAGTGGTGGTGGGGAGGGGATGGTTTCACATGTGTGCAAATGGAACTTCATACGTTTGCCCGCTGCTTGCACAGCCTGGTTCCCAATGGACCGCGAACCAGTATCAGCCATGAACCAGGGGTTGAGGACCCCTGCACTATAAGACAGAAGTGAAATTCAAAATTACATTGATAGGTTAGAGAATGTCCTGAAGGTAACAGAATTAAAATTTAAAATAACAAAATTAAGAAACAGGCAAAATTCTTCATTTAGGAAGTGTAAATGCTTGAATATAAGATAGGAAATATCTGGCTTAGTAACATTTTTCAAGATAGATGTTGGAATAAGAGGTGACTGCAAGCTGGGCCTGAATTTGTAGCATGATATAGCTACAAAGCAGGCAAATGCAATTTTTAAGTTGCATCAGAACATATGTAATGTCTAAACCATAAAAAATAATTGTCTATTTGGTAGAGGGCAGAGCTCCACTTTCAATACTGTGTGTACCTCTGGGTACCACATTTCCACAAATATCCAGAAATATTAGGTTTCGAGAAGGACAATTAAGATAATCAATATGCTAGAAAACTAAGCCCGGTGAAGAGTGATGAAGAAGCTAGGATTATTTAGCCTTGACAGAGATGATTGAGGAATGATAACACTCTTCAGATAGTGTGCGAAGGTTCCCAAACATTGTCACAGTAGCTCTCCTCAAGTGAAGAAGATAATTTACAAGGTAGTTCTTGAATCAGAATAGGGCAGTGACAGTCTTTCTAGTTACTATATTCACTCCATACACAAAGCCCATACATCATTCAAAAGTTATGTGAATTTTATAAGCTTTCTCTTCTTCAAGCTGTTCCGAACTGTTTTCATGGTTATCTAATTATAATCGAATTATAAGTGTTGTTATCATTAGGCATGGTGGCCTAGTGATGAAGATGTTCGCCTCCCACTCGAAAGATTGAGAGCTCAATGCTCAGTAGCGGCAAATGTTTAACAGGCAAAGAAAAAAAAAATATCTGCTGCAAATTCCACATAGTGCCAAGAAAGGCATCTGGCCAGCTGCAGCTAGTCATCCTGACTCTACCCCAAATTAAAGGGTTACATGGTCATAAAAAGGGAGAAGTTTTTTTATAATTATCCTACAATAAATCAATAATTTATCTTTTTAACAAGATAAATAAGAGGTACTTAAATAACTGTAAAATATAGTTACCTGTTCTTGAGAGCTGCCATAATAAGTCTGAACAAAGATGTAGAGTGGCATTCTATATAGTCTTTCAGATTTCCTCATGTATGACATCATACTGGTTACTTAGAAACAACAAAGCTCTCAATAGTCTTTAAGCATCAAGCCATTTTTATGAGGAGATGCATGAATTTTTTTTAAAACTCTTCTCTGCCGATGTCTTCAGATCACAGTGAACACCTGAAAATTAAATTAGTTATTTTAACAGATAATTATAGAAATATAAATCAACAAGGTAAGTCTTTTCCTTATGGAGTATTTTAGAGAGGGAAAGTACACTGGAAAAAATTGTAAGTGAATAGTGAGGCAGAATTCTTTGCATATCCATTGTATTTTTATGTTGAATAAAGGTCGCAACTACCATCCACTAAATCCCATGAGGTACATATCCCTATTTAGTTCCCCTTTTGGACTGCTTCTCTATTCTTTGAACCTATAGCCTGAAATGTACTATAATGCACATCTCATAGAAGTCTGTACACATCAAAGTAAAATATATTTTAAAATATTACCTATCAGCCTGACCTCAATACCTGGGAAGATTCTGGAAAAGATAATCAAACAATGAATCAGCAAACACCTAGAGGCAAACAAAATCACTACTAAAAGCCAACATGGGTTTGTCAAAAACAGATCATGCCAGACAAACCTTATTGCATTCTTTGACCAAGTGACAAAATTAGTGGATCAAAGGAATGCTGTGGATATAATTTACTTGGACTTCAATAAGGCATTTGATAAAGTAGATCACAACCTACTACTCGATAAGATAGAAAAAAGTGGGTTAGACAGCATCCCCACCAGATGGATTCGTAGCTGGCTGACTGGCCATACTCAGCATGTGGTCCTCAATGGAACTGCATCTACATGGAGGGAAGTGTGTAGTGGGGTGCCCCAGGGCTCTGTTCTAGGCCCAGTGCTCTTCAACATCTTCATCAATGATTTGGACGAGGGGATAGATGGGGAAATCATCAAATTTGCAGACGACAAAGCTGGCAGGAATAGCCAACACTCCAGAAGACAGGCTTAAGATACAGGAGGACCTGGACAGACTTGAACACTGGGCGCTATCTAACAAAATGAAATTCAATGGCGAAAAAAGTAAGGTTCTACATTTAGGCAAGAAAAACCAGATGTACAGGTATAGTATAGGGGGTACCTTCCTCAATAGTAGTAACTGTGAGAGGGACCTCGGAGTCCTAGTGGACAATCACTTAAATATGAGCCAGCAGTGTGCTGCAGCTGCCAAAGAGGCCAACACAGTGCTGGGCTGCATTAACAGAGGGATAATTACGTGAAGTATTAATACCACTTTACAATGCCTTGGTAAGGCCACACTTAGAATACTGTATCCAGTTTTGGTCACCACGATGTAAAAAATATGCTAAGACTCTAGAAAGAGTACAGAGAAGAGCAACAAAGATGATTAGGGGACTGGAGGTTAAAAATATAAGGAACGGTTGCTGGAATTGGGTATGTCTAGTTTAATGAAGAGAAGTACGAGGGGGGACATTATAGCAGTGTTCCAATATCTCAGGGGCTGCCACAAAGAAGAGGGAGTCAAGCTTTTCTCCAAAGTGCCTGATGGCAGGACAAGAAGCAACAAATGGAAACTAATCAAGGAGAGAAGCAACCTAGAACTAAGGAGAAACTTCCTGACAGTTAGAACAATTAACCAGTGGAACAGCCTGCCTCCAGAAGCGGTGAATGGTCCAACAATGGAAGTTTTTAAGAAGAGACTGGACAGCCATCTGTCCGAAATGGTGTAGGGTTTCCTGCCTGAGAAGGGGGTTGGACTCGATGACCTCCAAGGTCCCTTCCAACTTTATTATTATTCTCAATCAATCGCACAGTCAGCCAGATGTTCAGACTGGATTTGGCATTTTGTCTACCTATCGAGTCCTTACTCAGGACCTGGGATAGGCAGATATGGATGTTTGATGGTATTACAGGTATTGTCGCAGGATGGAAGCAGTTCCTTAGTAAGGCCGCCTTTTGCAATTGACTAATAGCGAATTTATCAATGCCAGTGGTGTTCAAGTGGTGCTCCAGTTGTTTTGGGATTGCACACAAGGAGCCTATTACTATTGGTACTACCCTTGCTTGCTTTTGCCACAGTCTTTCTATTTCTATTTGTAGGTCTTTGTATTTTGTTATCTTCTCCAGTTCTTTCTCGTCTATTCTGCTGTCTCCAGGCACTGCCACGTCAACTATCCAGACTTTTTTGTCTTTCTTATCGACAATTGTTAAGTCTGGGGTGTTATGTTGCAGGTGGTTGTCTGTTTGAATTCTGAAGTCCCAGAGCAGTTTAATTTTATCATTTTCTATGACTTTCTCTATTTTATGATCACACCAGTTTTTGCTTACAGGCAAATGATATTTTTTGCAAATCTTCCAATGCACCATTGTTGCTACTTTGTCATGCCGCTGCTTGTAATCAGTTTGTGCAATCTTCTTGCAACAGCTTACCAAGTGATCCACTGTTTCTTCAGCTTCTTTGCATAGGCGGCACTTACTGTCTGTTGCTGTCTTCTCAATTTTGACTTTATATGCATTTGTCCTTAAGGCTTGGTCTTGTGCAGCCAGAATTAGTCCCTCGGTCTCTTTCTTCAATTTTCCTGCTCTTAGTCATTGCCAGGTCTTGTTATTATCTGCTTTCCCAGCTATTTTTTTAATGTATTGGCCATGTAGTGCTTTGTCTTCCCATGCCTCTATTCTGTTCTTCATTTGGTCTTTCTTGTAGGCCAGTTTGGTCTCTCCAGTAGTCAGTAAGCCTTCCTGATATACTAATTTCAGTGCATCTTCATCATTGTTCTTCAGATATTCTTCCAAAGATGATGATGATGATGATGATGATGATGATGATATCTCTTGAGGCATTGAAGAAGCATCATCCAATTGTTTTTCACTTACAATGTAATGTCCTTTAGCATAACTTAACAACTTGATAAATAAGACATCATTTATAATCATTTATGTACTGTAAGCCACCCAGAACCACATAACGATGAAATAGGCAACATATAATTTTAATAAATTAATTATAAATTGTTTATTATTTATAATTTGTGAATGCATATGTGCAATATTGTTAATGATATCCCTTATGTTAAAAACATGTATTAATATACCAGTGATCTACTTATTTTGATGTAGTTTGAAAATTCAAATACTAATCTATTTTACTGGGAATTTGGCAGGCAATGATGAAAGGCCAAAATTTTGAAGTATAGACATTTTCATCATAATTTTTTTATAGCAGCAGCCTCAACAAGGTACAACTGAGAAGGTATTATTGACGAAGTATTCCCTGCAGTTTTGCTTCTGTTTTCTTGCTAAGTGTCTCATTTTTCCAAGATGTTTACAAGCTCTTTATACTACTATATTTTTGTCTCCTCTTGCTTACCCTTGTAATCTCTGAATACATAGAAAATATCAGGTTGGGGGGAGTTAAAGTATACAAAATGTTAGTAATTTGATGTTTTTAAAAGCCAAAACATATTACTTAGTTTTCAAACCTGTTTAATACTAACATTGTTTGTATTCTGCGATCACTAATAGTGCATTTAAGAGGCGTCTCTTTGGAAAACCATGTCTGAAGCTGATGAAGAAGGAGGGGAAGACTATGAAGATGTAGGAGATAAAGCTGAAAAAAAAGAAGTTACTGCGGAACTTCTGCCTCAGCCTGAAAAAAAGGCAAGGTATAGGTTCTTCTTTTCTGTAAAAAAAATAAATCGTTGTTTTACTCATTACGTTTCCTAAAAGGTAAGAGATGTGGCTGTTCATTTAGTACAAACATGGGGAAAAACTAGTCTGTAGCTCTAAATTCCCATAAACTCTGCAGACACTTCTGCCTTTCTCCCAAGACCAGCACCATCCTAGAGGGACGAAATCATAATTTCCTAAAATAATACAAATAAATCTTCTTCTCTTTCTCCTCCTCCTCCTCCTCCTCCTCCTCCTCCTCCTCCTCCTCCTCCTCCTCCTCCTCCTCCTCCTCCTCCTCCTCCTCCTCCTCCTCCTTCACCTGAAATTGCTAGAGAAATGTGCTTAAAAATGCTTCTGACCAAAATGTTTTTGTTTCTTTATAGTGTCACCACTGGGGCACTGAGCTGCTGCTGCTTGCTGTGGAGTTTGGTCTGGTTAATTATATTAGTGGCTTTTGCTTGGCCCTTGAGTGTGGCTATGGCAGCCCTTTATGGATTTGTGTCACCCATGATTTCACTGATAGGACTGGATGATATCAGTGAATCTATGCTGCAAGCGGTACATGTGGGAAGAGAATGTGCTAAAAACGTCAGAACTGGCAGGGCCATGGTCTGAAGAAGAAACCTCAAGAGTTACTCCCATCCCTTCCATTTACAAGTGTCCCTGCTTTTTCATGTTTTCATCACTATCGTTGATTTCTACATCTTCATTTCAACATTTATATTAAAAAGGACTTTATTTCAGTCTAAAAGAGTTTTCATGCTATTTTACCTGACTTAACCAGTTTGGTTTCCAGTGTACACATAAGTTAAGAATGAAGCAGGGGGGCCATCTTGCTTCATGGCCTCTGCTTTCTGAGATTTCCTCCAGCATGTTCAGTGAGCTCTGATGTTCAGTGAGCTCCGGGAATTTCTGAAAGAGCTTTGTATAGATGTGTATTGTAGGTACAGTGATTTTGCAAATGTGAGATTGAGGCTGCAAGGCAATGCCAAACGACATCGAACAAATTCAAGTAATCTTGTAGAGGCCTGATAATATTGTATTTGATTGTATTTAAAATCAATTATTTTTCACTTGTATTTATTTTTGTTCTCCCTTCCTTTTAATTTATTCCTTCCCCTGAAAATCACAAGTTTTTCTTTTTACTGTGTAAAATGTTAAATAATATAGAGCCATGAATCTTCTTCCTGTCTTTTGTCTCCCACATTCTAGCACTGTGCCTTATTGGTGGGTTTACATTAATCTCTTACCTGGTATTACTGGAAAGGTCAGTGATAGGAAAGGCTCGGGGTAGGATCAGGAATGAATACTGTCTCTTTTCCCAGGGTTTCTAAATTGGTCAAAATGAAACAAAGAGGCACATTCACATCCTGGAAAACTAGAATGGGAATAGTCTGGTGATGGACAGTTAATCTTCAAAACCTTTGACCTTCTCCGTAATTTCTTTAGCACTTCAGAAAACATAGTCACCAGTTGGCCGATGTAGTGATCAGACATTGGTGAAGAAAGAGGTAAGGGTGGATTTTATTCAAATTATGCTCCTGAAAGATTAGTAGGCTTCTGTAGAGGTATATGAAGCTGGATTGGTGAGGTTGCATAGTTTTTATAAAGATATGTTGGACAGTTTGTTTTGTAACAAAATGGAGAAAGGCGTAGCTGCTGCCAGTGGCTGCTTGCAATATTTTCTTATTTAAAAAACAGGAAAACAAGTACATTCACATTGGATTTTTAAAAAAAGTTCTATTGGTAATACTTGCTTTGGCCAAGTAATGTTTCAGAACGGAATTTCGCATGATCTATATCCCATGCTGAAAGGTATGTTGGGCTTTTTTTATATATTGTTTGGAACAATATATCGTGTAATAGACCATACTGATAAAACAATATGAGATGATTCTATCTGGTCTCTTAAGCTTTGTGTATTCCTTCTGCATGACCTGGAATCAATTATTTGGCAGTTGCTAAGTAACTGGAAAATGTCAATTTTATTGGTGCATATATTTATTTACTTTAAAAAAATAGCCTTACCCATTTGAATATTGCCTTTGATATGCCATTTAGAATTCAGTATAGCTTTTGTGTTTTCATATTGTTGATTAGACGATATGTAGGGAAATCTTTACTGCATGGGAAATCTAAACAGTGGCACTGAAATATTTCCTAGGATTAATAAGAGAGAACTTGGGAATTTTGTGTAGAATGGAGGAAAAGAGTTATCTCTCTTGCACATGCATTAGTAAACTATTGAAATTGGAAATAAGAAACTTCTTATTTTTGCTGTTAATATATAAATAAGGTTTATTATATTTTATATTATCTTCTTAGCTTTGGCTACTAATACTCCATTTAGCATATCTGGTTTAATCTATATGTTTGTATACATATTTCTCTGTAAAAATAAACATACAGTAGAACCTCAATGACCACTTGCATGTATTTGAAGGTGGAACTCTGTAATTGTGGATTTTTTCCCCCTCCCTGTTCAGTCATGTCTAATTTTCAGAGACTGCCTGGACAGGTCCCTGATGTTTTCTTGGCAAGGTTTTTCAGAAGTGATTTGTCGATCTCTCCTTCCCAGGCTGAGAAAAAGTGACTGGCTCAAGGTCAACCAGCTGACTTTGTGCCTAAGACACTACTAAGATCCACAGTCTCCCAGTTTCTAGCCTGGTATCTTCACTACTATACCATTCTGGCAAAATGATGGATAGCACATTAGTTTTGTGCTTTTATGTTCACGTAGAACTGCAAAAACCCACAAGCATTCCTTAAAAACAACATCTTGCATCACACTCTAGAATACAAATATGACATATCAATTGGCTTGAATATGCATGTTAACAACCTTCCTGTGTGTGCCATGGAACAGAAGATCTGCTTTTAGTAACTCCTGAGGCTCTTTGGCTTCACTAATAAAATAGCTGTCTTTATGGATATCTGTCACTTTAGAACTCAGAAGAACTGTATATATTAGCCATGGAATTTAGTCTCAAATATTTATCAATTTTTCCAATCCCGAAACTTCTGATACTTAATAATTTGTCTGCTTATTAACAAAACATTCCCTAGTAGACTGAACTATCAAGATTAATCACCATTGATCAGGATATTTACAAGTAAATCAATCAATCAAAATGTATTAACAGTCAAAGACTTGCAAGTAAAAAGCTTCAGCATCACTAACTCCGGAATGTTGCCTTAACCACAACATATTGCATAACTTTCAACAAAAGATTTTGTATGTAGCCAAGTAACGTTTTCAATATATACACATTAATAAAACCACCTGTATATATAAGCATTTATATTTGTGTCAATAACTTCCAATAAGACAGACTGTGTAGGACTGTACCACATTTGTGGATGGGGCTCAGATTTCTACCTATTCCCAGTGTTGCTGGGTTTTTTAAAACGTGACTGTTTTTAAAAATGAAAACTATATTACATTTCTTACAACTTACCTATGCATCATGTTTTCATGCCTCAAAATAACAGAAAATCATATTGATTCTTGGGTATTATAGTCATTGTGGCCCAGAGCACTTCAAAAAGGAGGTTTAGAGTTATGTGGTGTTCTAGGACTAGAAATTATTAATCCCTGGCTATTACTATATGTCACCACATCCAGCACTCAATCAAAATAAAGTTATCCCCATTACTATTCTTTATTCATTAGATTTAAATGGCTGTACCAGTGCCAGAGTGTTATCTAAACTAGGGGAGAGCCAGTTCCAACAATAATTTGCCACAAACATGTGAGAAATCAGTTTAGATAAGATAAAAGATAAGATAACCTTTATTGCGGGCACAACGGCACACATCAAAAATGAAATTTAGTTGCCCGCTCTCAAAGTGCTGTTTCTCTGTTGATCACTTCTTGTACAACTCCCTGTCCTGCCCGCTTCTACTCCTGACTTCTGTCATAAATGGGATTGGTTATTTGAAGTTGTAATAATCTTTCAGATCCCTTACTGCAGAAACTTGGAGCAAGTTAGGAATGCAAGAGCAGCTGGGATCTGCTCTTCCCACTGGAACAGCAAGGAAACACTATCACATGGCTGTTTTACTCCTACCAGACAGCTTGGGATGCCATGAGTGGGCAGTCTGCTTCTGTTGTACAGGAAGAAATCATTAAATAGACTCAGTAAGCCATTTGTAATATCCTCTCGTTTCAAGAAAAGCAGATTACATGGTAACTCCTGGGAATTGTCTGGGAAAGTAGAACAGTGTTTTTAGCCACAGTAAAGCAGGAGATAAGAACAACTTTGCTAGAGTCCAAATATGAAATATTCTGAAATCTTTAGCATAGTGCTGATTGTTGAACAAGTAGTGGAGTCACATTTTTGACAGACTTTATAAAGGGTTTGATACAGAGCTTCTCTTCTCCACTTTTTTTCTAATTGTAATACTGTTTCAATTATTCTTGCAATTATATTCTGACAGTCTGTAACAATGTAGGCATGTACATATCACTATGAAAGCTATGATCAATGTACAATTGTTTTACTGAATCTGTTAGAAATTTGAATGTAGAAATATAGGAAAATGCATTAACAGTACTCTTCTCCCACACTGTGATATGTTTTCCATATAATTCAGCAGGTTGTTCATGTTAAATGTCCAATATTTTGATGTTTGGAAAGTATTTCTTTAGATAGTTTGGGAACTACTATTGTGTATCCTGCACATGAGTTTCACTCCTGGTACATGTTATCCTAATAGAGAAACAGGGGAATCTTTTTGTGAAGGTGCACAACTGGCAAACTGCATATTTTACCCAGATATTAAAATAACCTTTCAAACATTAAGGATTCAAATTAAAACTCTCAAGTTTTAGTTTAAAATATATGCATGTAGAAAGAATGCACTAATATTATATCATCTCTGAGACTGGATTGTTCTAATTGATAGAAATAGATCAATAGGAAATGGAAACAATGAATTATGCTTTATCAGATAAGAAGGATGATAGAGAAATAATAGCATTTCCTTTTCAGTTCTGAAATGCTAGTACAGCAAAAAAAAAAAAAAACCCACAAAGATGTTTTGATATATACTTTTTAATTAGATACAATTAACAAAACTTTCCTTTTTCTAATATAACATTTGTATTCTAAATATTATGTATACATAAGCTCACGTATGATTATTTATAAAGCTTGCTTCTAAAGGACACCAATGAAATTCCTTCAGAGTATGCATTGACCATCTGATGTTTTTTGCATAGTGTTAAACCCACTCAGTATCTGCCTCTTTTGTCTTGTCTATTTTTAACTGAAAAATAATAATTACTAAACTGCTCTGACAAATGTAGGAAAATCCATCATTGTTTTCCTATAAAAATGCTTCATTTCCCCCTCTTTAATAGAATAATAATTAGAATTATTTGCATTTTAGTTTGTTAGAATTGGTTTATATTACTAATTAAATAAGTACTAAAATACAAAAAGAAGAAACTTTTAAAAAGTTAATCTAATGCAATATAGTTTTTCCCTATTCCAGGCATTCTGTTGAAACACATGTTGCTTTCCCTGGCATCAGTAATCAGTGTATTTAACTACTCTTATAGGATTGACTAGGGAAAAGGTATTAGGAATTTATGACCACAAATCTATGTATTTACATTAATGATAGAGATTTCCCCCCTCTATTTAAATGAGTTTCATGCTGGTGAATCTATTGCAAATGGTTTGCAAACACTGACGCTAGGAATGCAATTTGTATTCATCTGTTGGATACATTGGATTTCAACTTCAGCTTTAATAATTTAATAATTTCCACCCAGCACAAACTGTATACCATGACCTAAGAGCTACTTATTACAGTTTACCAAATGGTCATCTTTTGTCCAAAAATGTCTCACAATCTACAGTAATGTCATCGAGGCAATTAACACAAGGGCAATTCCAGTCATTAGATACAGCTGGAATAGTGTATTGGACTGAAGCTGAACTAGAAACCCTGGATAAGAAGACAAGAAAAAATAATTACAATGAATCGTGCCCTTCATCCATACAGTGACATTGACAGATTCTGCTTACTAAGGAGTATAGATGGCTGGCTGTAAAATGTTACAAGTATGACATTTGGAAAGAAGAATGAAGGACAGTGAAGAATATGCACTGAAGTCAATACACTTCAATACACAAAGGCTTGTTGACTACCTAGAGATCAATCTGGCTTACAGGAAAAGCAAGAAACAAATAGACATGGCAAGCAAAGTATTACATGCCCAACACACACACACACATACAAAACCTATCAGGCAAAGCAGGTAAGAACAAGAACTGGCAATGGCTAAGAGCAGGAAAATCCTTAAAATCTTGCACAGAAAGCAAGAATTGAGAAGACA